ACAGAGGGGAGAGAGAGAAAAAGAAAAGAAAAGGAGTAACAGTGTGAGAGAAGTAGGGGGAGAGGGGAAGAAGCAGAGGTGGGGGGAGTGGGACAGCCACTCCCGCAAATTCCTTGTGAGTCCCCACTTGTCATAAATATATTTGCCACAAGGGGGCCAGATAAAAAACTGCCCAGCACACAAATACAGATTATATTGTATGGCCACGTGACCAATAGTATAACTGAGTCAGAGGCAGATATTCTTTCACTTGATGGAGACCAGCAAGAGAACAGCTTTAATTTTTCTGCATGCAAGGAGCCTAAGCTCTGAGTCTAGGAGCTAATACAAACTGAATGTGATTAGAGTGTCAGATTAGAATCTGAGAGAGACACAGGTTTGAAAACACACACCCCTCCCCCACTGTGGAAGCTCACCAGGCGACCTTGGGCCAATTGCTCTCTCTCAATTCAGCCTACCTCCACAGGGTAGCTGTCGTGAGCAATGTTCCCTCTAAGCTGTGGAGTCTTGTGAGCAAAAATTCTACTTTGTGAGCTACTGGCATTAAACTTGTGAGCGAGCGATTTGGCTACTGAATAAATTAGTTAGCTCTGGAGCCATCCTTCCTGAGCTAAGACAAAAAGGTATGAGCTGGAGACTACAAAACTGTGAGCTAGCTCACACTAACTCAGCTTAGAGGGAACACTGGTCGTGAGGGTAAAATGGAAGAGGGGGAAATGACACTCTAAGTCGCTTTGGGTCCCCACTGGGCAGAAAAGCGGTGTATAAATAGCAGCATACATAAAATAAACTCCAACCACCACCACCACCCTTTGGCTATGCAAAAACCAATTGTTCCATTTTCGGCTTCCCTTTCTACGGGTTCTGTCTGGGAATAACTTGCATCTGAACATTTGTGTTTGACATGCTGCCCTGCCCGTGCAAATGTGAGCACGGAAGCTTTGTGCAAAAGATAATTTCTGCGGGTAGCAGTGTTCCCTCTTAGCTGAGTTAGGTTTCCCTTGCTCGAAAGCCAGTCGAATCCGACTCTAGGGTTGCAGTGCTCATCTCCATTTCCAAGCCGAAGAGTCAGCGCTGTCCGAAGATGTTTCCATGGTGATGTGGCCGGCATGACTAAATGCCAAGGCGCACAGAACACCTTGTTAGTTAGTGTGAGCTTTTTAGCCTCCAGCTCACACGTTCTTGTCTTCGCTCAGGAAGGACGGCTCCAGAGCAAACTAATTTATGCTGTAGCCAAATCGCTTGCTCACAACTTTTAATGCCAGTAGCTCACAAAGCAGAATTTTTGCTCACAAGACTCCACAGCTTAGAGGGAGCATTGGCGGGTAGCTGTGCTCGCCTGCAGTAAAACAGCTGGATTCCAGTCCCGCAGCACCTTAGAAACCAGCAAGATGGGGGTGGGGGTGGTTGATGAGCGTTCAAGAATCAAAGCTGGCGAAGGGAGCTTTGACTCTCAAAAGTTCATACCGCCGAAAGGTCTTGTTGCTACAGGACTGGAATCTATTTGTGCAAAAGAGACAGACATAACTGGTCTTGCCTAATTCCAGAGGGCCGCTTGCTCAGGGGAACCCAAGCCACTTTCTCGCTCTTTCACCCACAGAGTAAAGACTCTTACGGAGTGCCGTTGACAGCCGGTCGTCCAAGAAGCCGGTTCCCACAGTCGGCAGATCGATCCTGGCAGCCAGCAGGTGGTGTCCGGGGCACCGCTTTCCTCCGCACGGCAGAAGAACTTCAGGCTTCCACCTGCTGCATCAGTGCTGCGAAGATGATCTCGACTGAACTTTGGCACGTCAAGCCAGAGACGCTCTTGGCGCTTGCTGAAAGGTGCACACGGTTTGGAGGAAAACAGGACTCGCCAAAAAGGGTAGGGCAAATTATTCATTCAAAATCTCCCCACCCCCGGCGGCGCTTTTTCGGTCTGCTTGGACAACAGGCTAGCAACGTTTGAGGACTTTGCTGCTTTTAGCAGAGGATGGGGAAAGGTGGCTCGCTCTACTGACATCCGAGCTTGCTTTTCTTGAATCTGAGGTAGAATTTCAAAAGCGAAGGGTGGAATGAACGGTGCAGATCATCCAAGATGCTTGGAAAAGGCTCTGAGAGCCGGTAAAGGAAAACGAGCCAGCAGAAACAGGGTTAAGTCAAGCCTTTAAAGGCTGGACAGCAAATCCAAATTTGCAGACACCCGGAGAATGTAGAATGCTCTCCTCGTAGGTAGGGCTTGCATGCTATAAACAACGTTGGTATTTCTAAGGATGTTTTGCCTTCAGCAATACCAAGCATCACCTCAGTAGGACTTGTTCTGTGTAGCTCTTCCGTGAGGGTGTGAAGGATGCATCTGGAAATTCGTCAGCCTCTTGGGGGCTGGAAGGAAATCAGTCATGGACCAGCTACTGCCTGTGGATCTACCAGACTTAAGGTAAAATAAATTCCAAATATATTGGGGGGGGGGAGAGCCCAACTTAACGGATGCCTGCTACTGAAATTGATTCGTTTCTCACCGTCCTTAAACCATAGTTAGAATACCGTGAGTGCAGTACTATCTGACGTATCCATTTTCCTCTCCCTTAAAGTATTAACACAGGTTCTAATTTTTCAGTAGCTTATAAAAGTTATTTGTGGCACCGTTCAGGAACAAGAATTAACAGGAAAAGGCTAGCTAAAAATATAGCCGAATTAGAGCAGACTCCGTGTTGGCAAAAATCAAATGTCTACAAGATAAAGTTACATCTTGGAAGAATGCCTTCATCTAAAAATGTGTTGTTGCGAGCTTTGTGGTACATGCGGGCTGAAACAGAGCCCTTGTTCTTGTCAAATGAAAATAAATTTTCTTCCCAGAGATAAACACGATCCCCCATGAATGTACTTTATACATGCCTTTCTGTAAAATCTAAGAGTATAAGAACTTGGGATCAGATTAAAAAGACTTGATTTCAACTTTCGGTCATCAACGGGAGCCAGACAGATGCCCTGAGAAAACTCACAGGTTGGGTCACAGAGAAAGAGTCATCATCTTTGTAATTTATATCCTAGCGTCTGGTTGTCAGAATTAGACTGTCTATGCACATGGGGGCTCTGTTACAAGCTATTTTATTTATTTATTATTATTAAATTTATGAATCACACAATCCCCGCTACCGCAGGGCTCTGGGCGATGTACTACACATAGTAAAAACATTAAAACCATAAAATAAGCACATAATCCACATTTACCCCCTGCCTATCGGCCTGGCTCAAGGTGGTTTATAGTAATCATGCCTAATTGCTCATGATAGATTCATTCTTTGTTAATTTGCCTAATCCTGATTTTAAGAAAAAAGTTATATACCCTAGCAGTCAATAGTACAACCTTGCATTAGGCAAGTTCCTTATGTATGGTAACACAGGGTGGAGTCCCGTAAACACTTTCCTGGGAGTAAGTGCCACTGAATAAAATGGAACCTACTTCTGAGTAGACCTCCTCAGGATTGCTTCCTGCAGTACGTGATGAACAGTCTTAATTGCTTGGTTTGAACTTACTGCAAACCAGTTTTATTGAACGGCCACACAAGTGCTAACATTGTTGATAAAAGAATTATATTTAACTGACAACCTTCCGCTCAGTTGGCTTTTATAAAATTCACACCATGCTGTCCACCACCACCCCGCCCTTATTCATCTTCTTTCTGTACTAGAAGTGGCTGAGTTTTAGCCCAGGGAAATGTTTCCAACACCAGAATCGTTTCAGTGGCTTTCTTCTGCCCCTTTCCCAGAACGGTACCCAATAATTCAACCTCAACTTACCTGGGAGAAAGACTACCCAAGGTCTGTATTGTGAACCACTAGCAATAGCTGGGCGAAATTTAGGTAGAAAATTACGTCAGAGGTATTTTAGGCCAAACACAGTTTACCCCACCCCACTACCTTCCCTATCTTCCTTAACCTTCCGAGTGGCTCACAGCTTATTGCAAGACACTTGTCACACAATCCAATTCAAAGTTTTAACAATTCACATTTCCCCCCCCTGCTTCATTTCTTATAGCTTTGCTGAAATGGAGACACCAGTAGTCCTTTAAAAAAAATCCATCATGCAAATTATTTGTGGACAATCCCTGGAGAGCCATTAAATAGGTCCGAGATTAATACATTTTGTTGGGGGGGGGGGGCCACTGAAGGATGGGGGGGAAAAAATTAAGAAAAAAGGGGGGGGGGGGACACTTTAGGATGTGAGGGAAAAAATTAAGTAAAAAGTAGACAAATCCCTTTATTTTCCCCCCTCAGGCTTGCAGACGCTATCTAGAAGTTCTGCAGCCGCAGCCCGTGATGTTTTTGTTTTCTATTAAATTTCTATAATTATCTATGAAAACAGAGAACATGATACTGAAGAAAGCTGAGCTCTCTCATTTATTCCACCGCTGGCTTTCTTCCTGATTTTTATGCTTTTCTCATAGCAACAATGCCAAGAAGACGTTTTGTACTTTGTCACTGAATAGATCTCAAGAGAATCACTCAAGTGTACCAAATAAAAAAGCATTTTACACTTTGAACGTTCAATTTCACACGCTCGTGCGTCACCTACCGAAATGCAAAAAGGCCACGGATGCGTGCCAAGCCGTTTGTAAAATGTCGGCTTCTTTCGGTCTTCCAGACTCGACATTAATAGCTTTCCCGTTTACCCAATTGTAGGTTCCACAACTTTCACGCAACTGAAGTTAAATGGAGCTACAATACGGTGCCTTTCGACTTGGGAGGAAGTCCGTGCTCGAAGAAAACCCATATATGCCCGTATCATTACTGTGAGAAAGCTGCTGGAATACGGAACGCATGAATCCCATCTTACTCACCGCGTTGAGGACTAGTATACATATTCCAAAACATACTCAAAAAGCAACGAAAGCTTGGTTCTTAACAGATTCTACCTATTGGGGATTACAAATATGACCCCTACAGACCTCTTTGGACCCAACAATTTAAGCAGTTTGGCACTGAAGTCCAAGGTGATCTATTTCGCAGAGAACCGTACCATGGAAATCTATCCTGGAGCCACATCTCCACTACTCTGTAACAGCACCTACCCTTATTTGTGTAACGAAAGCAAACCTCTGGGCCTGGAGGATAAATCGGAACATCAGCAATACATCATCGGCCTGTTCCTGTCATGTCTCTACACGATATTCCTGTTCCCCATCGGCTTCGTGGGGAACATTCTCATTCTAGTGGTGAACATCAGCTTCCGCGAGAAGATGACGATCCCAGACCTCTACTTCATCAACCTTGCCGTGGCGGACCTCATTCTGGTCGCCGACTCCCTCATCGAGGTTTTCAACCTGGACGAAAAGTATTACGACATCACGATCATCTGTACCTTCATGTCCTTGTTCCTCCAGATCAACATGTACAGCAGCATCTTCTTCCTCACGTGGATGAGCTTCGACCGATACATCGCGCTTGCCAAAGTCATGCGGTCCAACATCTTCCGCACCATGGAGCACGCCAGGCTAAGCTGCGGCCTCATCTGGCTGGCGTCCATTTCTGCGGCGCTGGTGCCCTTCACGGCCGTGCACCTGCAGCACACCGGAGAGATCCACTTCTGTTTTGCGGACGTCAAGGAAATCCAGTGGCTGGAGATCACCCTAGGGTTCATCGTCCCTTTTGCCATAATAGGCCTGTGCTATTCGTTGATCGTCCGAGTCCTGATCAGAGCTCACAAGCACAGGAGTTTGCGGCTACGCCGGCAGAAAGCTCTCAGAATGATTTTCGTGGTGGTCCTCGTCTTCTTCATCTGCTGGCTCCCCGAAAACGTCTTCATCAGCGTGCAGCTTCTCCAGAAGACGGAACCGGTCCCGTCCCGGAGCCAGTCCTTCAGACACAGCCACCCCTTGATGGGACACATCGTCAACCTTGCAGCCTTCTCCAACAGCTGCCTGAATCCCCTTATCTACAGTTTCCTAGGTGAAACTTTCAGAGACAAGCTGAGGCTGTACATCGAACAGAAGGCCAAAGTATCGGCTCTACATCGTTTTTGCCAAGCTACCCTGAAATCAGTCATCCCTGATAGCACAGAGCAATCGGAAGTCTAATTTAGGACCGTTCCGAAGGTACCACAAAGGAACAGGATCGCAATACTGGTTACTCACAGGAAAGTGTATATCTTACGCACACAGAGAGTTGTACTCTTGTTTTTATGACAATATGTACAAGATTAACCCATTATAAAGATCAGCATGTAATTGGGGAAAGGGCTAATAAAAGATTCTGGAAGGTCGCTTGCACGTATGTGTGTCTGCAGACAAAAAAAGTGACAGAAAATTGTATAAAGAGAAAATTCTGACTCTTGACCGATGGCCAAATACTCAGGTGCCCTGAACCAAACAATAAAGCTGAACAAGGAATGAGAAAATCCAATAGAACGTACTGAAATGGGGAAACCAGAGAAGTCATTGATTTTCTATCCAAGCATATCAGCATGCAAACTTTGTTAAGAATTACAGTGTTCCTTGTACACTACTATATATAGACGCATTCATGTTATAAGCACTGAATTAAGAAAAACAGAAAATCAATCTAGGATTACAGCAGAGACTTCTTTCTTGTTTTTTTTTTATTTTTTAGAAAACTAGAAATGGAAAAACATCAGATCTTCCCCCCATTGTTTCCAAATCCCCTGATTTTCAAGAATCTAGGAAATTTCTACCAATGTTTTTTCCCCAGAACCTCAAGACACAAGGGCCCACTGACTCACGCCCAGAACCTCCATACTCGCAGGAGTGGTTATGGGTCCAGCTCGCATCCACACACCCAGCAAGCGCAAGGCAGAATTCACCTTTAATTCTGTTTCCTGTCCCTGCCATTTTTTCAGAACAATCCTAAACAGAGCTACGGCCTTCTAAGTCCACAGAAGCCGATGGGCTTAGAAGGCCTGCAACTCTGTTCAGGGTTGCATTGTGTTATGTGTAAATCTGCTAATAGCCCTTACTTTAATTTTGTTTTGGTGTACGGCATTTTAAAACAGATCTGAGTCCGGTAGCAGCTTAGAGACCGACGAGATGTTTAGGGCATAAGCTTTCAAGAGTCAAAGCTCTCTGCATGTAAGTATCTGACAAAGAGAGATTTTACTTTCGAAAGCTTATACCCCCCCCCCCAACAATCTTGTGGGAAACTAAGGAGTTACGGCATTCAAACCTAGCTGTTCTACTACAGACCAACGCAGCTACTCTTTGAAAGCACTTTTAAAAACCGTTTTAGAAATGTCGTATTAGAATGCGACCTCTACATTGGGACTTACAGTGGGATCTCCTTAACCCTGCCATACAAACCCTGCTTTCAGTGGTCTAGAGCCTGGGATTGGGAAGATGCTACGGTAAAGGTAAAGCATGGCGCCAAATCGCAACTGCCTTACAGCAACTCCACTCTGGGGTTTTCGAGGAATAAGAGACCTTAGAGGCGGTCTTGCCACTGCCTTCTTCCAAGCAGGAAGCCTCGTCGTCCTTGGTGCGCGGACTCTAATCTGGGAGAACCGGGTTTGATTCCCCACTCCTCCACTTGCACCTGAACATAAGAACATAAGAGATGCCAATGTTGGATCAGGCCAAAGGCCCATCCAGTCCAACACTCTGTGTTTCACAGTGGCCAGAAATACCAGTGCCATCAGGAGGTCCACCAGTGGGGCCAGGACATTAGAAGCCCTCCCACTGTTGACCCCCCACACACACTGTTGACCTTGGGTAAGCCGTAGCTCTGGCACAGCTGTTCTTGAAAAAGAGTAGTTTCTGTCAAGAGCTCTCTCAGCCCCACCTACCTCACAGGGTGTCTGTTGTGGGGAGGGGAAGGGAAAGGAGTTTGTAAGCCGCTCTGAGACACCCTTGGGTAGTGAAGGGCGGGGTATAAATCCAATCTCTTCTTCTTCTTCTTCTTGGTGGTCTCCCATACAAGCGCTAACTGCAGCTGACCTTGCTTAGCTTCCGAGCTCTGGTGAGATCAACTTAGTCCGGGGCTATTGAGGCTGCTAGGGAGATACTGTATTGCAGTAACTTGCAGTCTCTCTCTCCAAGACATCACCAGCAGATGGTGAGAGGAGAAGACGAGGTACATGCATGGAACCATCTCTTGATTTCACTGTAGGCAGAAATTCAGGAGGATATCATCAGGACAGGCCCATAAGCTGGGGAGGGGTGTGTTTCAAGATCAGAGCTATATCTGGAGCCAGGGTAGTGTAGTGATTAAGAGTGGCGGACTCTAATCTGGAGTGCTGGGTTTGGTTCCCCACTCCTCCTCCACCTGCCGGGTGACCTTCGGCCAGGCACGGTTCTCTCAGAACTCTCTCAGCCCCACCTGCCTCACAAGGTGTCTGTTGTGGGGAGAAGAAGGGAAGGTGATTTGTAAGCCACTTTGAGACTCCTTAAGGTAGAGAAAAGCAGAGTATTAAAACCAACTCTTCTTCTTCTTCATCTCCTTGTTTGGACATCAACGCTTAACCAGGAAGACCAACTCATGTTTTTAGATCTCTTTTATAAGACAGTGTGACAGAAGGAGGCATGTTGGCCACGGTGTGAGACAAGACGCTGGACTAGACGGACCACTGGTCTGATCCAGAAGGGCTCTTCTTATGTACAGCCTGACCTCATCAGATCTCAGAACCTAAGCAGGGTCAGTACTTGCAACGGGAGACCACCAAGGAAGGCTCTGCAGAGGAAGGCAATGGCAAACCACCTCTGCTCGTCTCTTGCCTCGAAAGCCCCTTGCTGGGGCCGCCATAAGTTGGTGGTAACTTGACAGCACATACGTACAGACAATGACATTATGGTCCTTTCTGCACTTGAATCTCGTCCCTGGTTTTATCAGAGTTCAACTTGTGACACAATACCTTGCATTTATCCCCAGTTTTAACAGCATCCGTTTATCCAGGGACAAGTGTGGGGCGAAACCGGGGTGACCGCGATGCAATGTGGAAAACAAAAAATACCCCGAGATAATTACAGGGGTGAACTCGAGTGTCGTTTAGAATATAAGTTCAGGGACAGGGTTGGACCAGGATTTAAGGCCTAGTGCAGAATCAGCCAAAAAAATCTCAAGAAGGATTACAGTATTGTTATAACCTCAGCATTTCCTTCCAGGATGGAGAATACCGCTTGCTCCGTATTGGGTTTGACTAACTTCCCTCTTGACCACCCTACTGAAAATTTTCCAGTTTGAAGAAAAGAGGAACTTGGCTGACCCTTGCATTAAAATCATGCAGTCTCCTTTGGGCTTAGACCCCTGGACTTCAACCTCTTCACATAGTTGTCACCCACAGGCTGCAAGGTCCTGAGAGCCTCGGACAGCTGCCTGAGGTGGGGGTGGGGAGGGAAACAACATTACTCCAGCCAGATCCAGAGTGGCCAAGCGTCTCTGCGAACACCAGCAGAGAGGATTAGGGGTACTCTGCAGCAAGCAGAAGAATTTTCCAGAAATCTAGGCAAAGCACAAGAACCAAACTTCCTTCATGTTCCAGAGAGTAAAGGACTGGTGCATTTCCTTAAAACTGACTCCCCTTCCTGGGTCCAGGAATTTTGGTGACACAAACTATTAACAGTGGGATTCACTGCCGCAAGGAAGTGACGGTGGCTACTAGACAGCTTCAAAACGGGATTGGATAAACATGTGGAGCAGAGGTCCTTCGGGATATTAGCCACAAGGTATAGAGGTTAAGAGGCTGAACTGCAGACCGGAAGGTCAGTAGTTCAGCAGTTCGAGACCCAAGTGCCGCATGAGGAGCTCCCGTCTCTGGTCCCAGCTCCTGCCAACCTAGCAGTCCAAAAGCGAGAAATTGCAAGTAGATAAATAGGTACCGCTTCGGTGGGAAGGTGACAGCGTTCCGTGCACCTCGGCGTCTACTCATGCCAGCCACATGACCACGGAAATGTCTTTGGACAGCGCTGGCTCTTCGGCTTGGAAACCGAGATGAGCACCGCATCCCTAGAGTCGGATTCGACTGGCTTTCGAGCAAGGGAAACCTTTACCCTATAGAGGGAACACTCTGTCTGGGGCAGTGATGCTCTGCATTCTTGGTGCTTGGGGGGGCAACAGCAGGAGGGCTTTGGAGTTCTGGCCCCGCTGGTGGACCTCCTGATGGCCCCTGGGTTTTGGTCACTTTGTGACACAGAGTGCTGGACTGGGTTGGCCATTGGCCTGATCCAACATGGCTTCTCTTATGTTCTTATGTCTGGGCAGTGATGCTCTGTATTCTTGGTGCTTGGGGGGGCAAGAGTGGGAGGGCTTCTGGAGTTATGGCCCCACTAGTGTATCATCTAATGGCCCCTGGGGTTTGGCCACTGTGTGACACAGAGTGCTGGACTGGATCAGCCATTGGCCTGATCCAACATGGTTTCTCTTATGTTCTTATGTTCTAACACATTGAGTTGTCAAATGGAATTAGACCCTTAGTCCATCAAGGTCAGTAATATCTACTCTGACTGGCAGCGGCTCTCCAGGGTCCCAGGCAGAGGGTCTTTCACATCACCTCCTGCCTGGTCCTTTTCACTGACTATGCCAGGGATTGAACCTGGGACCTTCTGCATGCCAAGCGGATGCTCTGCCCCTGAGTCACAGGCCACCCCCTTCCAGTGCCAGACTTTGAGGCATTCCATTATGCTAATTTTTGGGGACCAGGGACCAATACTCAAGGACAGAAACATATGCATACATGGTGACCATGTAACTGACACTAGCGTGCATACACATACAAATGTGGACACAATCTTCCTTCCAGGTCACCGTTTCAGATTTAACTTTTAAGGCCAGGGAGGTAGTTTTCTACACACGTTCCCCCACTCACAAATGTTATTACTGGAGAGCTTGTCTAGCACAGCAGCTGACAGAGCAACCCTAAGGTCAGATCCCTGGGAATAAGCCCCACGGAGTAGACTTGAGTATGATTCTGATCTGACCTGCTTCAAGATTGCTGTCTGTGCAGCTGAACTGCAAAACAAAGCGGTCCTCCGCTGGAATTTCACCTCTACCACGAACTCCTGGGGTGATAGCCGGCAAGGCGTTACTCTGAGGCATGCAGGAGAACAAGGTGATAAAATGGACCGGGCCACTTCAAACTGCAGGCGGAGAATCAATTTAGACAAGCACTG